AGAAGCCCCATTCTGCTTAAACAGACACACAGACCAAGAGGTGTCTGGGTAACTCAAGAGTTCTCGCTTGGTCAGACGGGACTGCACACCGGGGCCTGGATGGTGCTCGCCACGCTGGCCCACAGTGTCCCTGCCCTGTCGGCCTCCCCTCCCCCACAGACTCTTTCTCTTTCTTGCTTATTCTGAGTCTGAACACAGCTCATTGTCAACTTTTCTGTTTTGAAACAGCAATTCCTCCAAAAGCTCTATAGGGAGACTGTGAGGGTCTTGGACCCTTGGAAGCAGATGGTCCGTGCTCTGTCCCCCGATGGTGCCCGGCCTGTGGGCAGGGGTTGCTGAAACCCAACCCACCTCATGCTCACCCGGTCATACCTGCCTTACATGAGGGCACCATGTGGGCGGGCAGGGACCCCGCTCAGCCCCATCTCCCTCCCTCCCCTCGGCTGGGCCAAGTCAGTGGTTTACAAGCATTTTCTAGGAACAGAACTCTTTTTCCCTCTCAATAAAATCTTGTTAGTAACCCCAATACATAAAGCAGATTAAAGACCGAGGTACAAACATTAGAACATTAAAACAACTAGAGGAATGTATACATTTTGCGTGACCCCGCAGTGGGGAAGGACGTAAAAGGGGCTGGATGGTTTAGTGCTCGATGTGGTGGATTGAACACACATGTTTGCTTGAGTTCATCCCAGGAACCTGGTGGTGGAGTGGAGAGGTCTAAAACGACAAGGCAGAGGCGGTCTCTCAGCCAACGAGCAAGACCAGGGACATTTCACAAGATGGAACGCAGCCGGGCAAGAAGCTCAGAGAACCAGAGGAGGTCTGGGGGGGCTGGGGGGACTGGCGGCCCCAGGATCCCCTGAGGGTTGGAGGTAACCCAAGAAGCGAAAAGGAGGGTTCCTCCATGGCTAAAGGGAAGGTCCAAGAGGGATGGTTCACACATGTGGATATTTGGGGAGACTCCCAATGAAAGGCTGAGTTCTCATGAGACCACCCATGCCTCCGTGGAGACCCCAATCAATAAGGCTTAGGGGTGTGGACAGACTTTACAATGGATCCATTGATCTCTTAGTATTTCCCTCTTAAATATAAACAGATCACCACAGATTCCTGCATTACGAAAAGAAAACCTTTAATAAGAAAGACAGACTCAAACTAACAAGATACCATTTATCCCACCCAGCTGTCACCCATTGATCCTTCATCCAAGAAGCCCTGGTGGTGCAAGGCTTCAGCATTTGGATGCTAACAGAAAGGTTGGCCGTTGTAACTACCAGCTATTCCATTGGAGAAAGGCTTGGTGATTTCCTCCCATGAAGACAGTTGTTATTGGTGGTGTTGTTCAGTACCATCGAGTCAGAACCAACAGGCTCATAAATCCTACCAGGAAGTTTTAATTACCAGGCACCAGGAAATCAAAAGATGAATAGCACTGGAAAAATTTGCTGTCAGGGACTCTTCCAGAGTACTGAAGAGCAATGATGTCAGTATAGAGACTAAGGTGTGCCTGATCCAAGCCATGATCTTCGCAATTATTTGCTAGGCATCAGACAGCTGGACAATAATTAAGGATGATAGGAGAATTGATGCCCTTGAGTTGTGGCACTGGAGAAGAATATTAAATACACCAAGAACTGCTAATTGAACAGAAAGGTTCATCCTATGGAGAAGGTGAAACCAGACTGCTCCTTGGAGGCAAGAATTCTGAAACTCCATCTGACATACTTTGAGTATATTGCAAAGAGGGACCAGTCCTTGGGGAGGGACTTCATACTTGGTCAGGTGGAAGGACAGTGCAAGAGAAGAAGACCCTGGATGAGATGGATTGACTCAGTGACTGGGGTAATGGGGGTAGGTAGATCAGAGACAATGAAGTTAGCTCAAGACAGAGCAGGGTTCAGAGGGTCACTATGAGTCAGAGTTGATTCAACGGCAGATAACAATAACATAGGGTCATTGAGTCAGGATTTACTTGAGGCACACACTGAAAACAACATCCTCTAATCCTCACACCCACTCTACTTTCTACCCCATTCATCTACTCAGTCACCCACCCATCCAACTACCCACCCACTCACTTATTCATTGATCCATTCATTCAAACATCCATCCATTCACCCTCTCAACCATCCCTTCCTCCACTGAGAGGTGTGTTCGTGGGACCTTTGGTGGCCCTGTGCTCACACAGTCTGGCTCTGGCTGGTTGGAGAACGGGTCTATGGAGCAGCCACTTGGATGAAGGGCAGACTCCAGGAAGAACTGGCCTGGATGACCGAGGAGACAATGATCTGCCTTTCCCCAGTGCCCCCTCCACACCGGTGCATCCTCAGGGCAACGGGAAGGTGGAGACGGGCTGGATGTAGGTCAGTTTTCAAGTGGCGCTGCCATCTCAGAAAAGCAGCACTCACCCCACCCGGGGAACGGTGCAAACTGCACATTCTTGAGGTGCTTCCAGGCCAAGAACATGGGGCTTCCAGGTTCTGAAGCAGCAAAGCCAGCTCTCTGTAGGGGGGGAAGGTCGGAAGGGAGGGACGCGAGTTGGCCTGGAAGGAACCTATTTCTGGAAAGTGTGCTGGCCCTGGCGCAGTTTGCTCTGGCACTGGGCACGGGCTTGGCTGTCAGCAGGCACAGGGCATCCAGCTTCCCAGCCACAGAGAGGCCAGGGCGACTTGGCTGGCGGGCACCGGGGTGCAGCCAGCTTGGGGTCCTGTGCCACCTGCCCGGGCAGACGCCCCAGGCGGGGAGGTTTAATAGCTCCCTGGGCACACTGTCATCCTCCGGCAGTTAAACAATGTTTGTTTAACTTACTTCGATTATTCATCAGCGCTGTGGAAACGCAGAAACAGTGCTAGTGGGGCTGGCTCTGCCCCTGCCTGGCTCTCTGACCGGCTGAAGCCCTGGCCGCTTGTCCAGTGGTTTTCCAGCACACACATGGCATGTCCTGGACTTTAGGACACAGAGGCAGAGGCCAGTGTCTGGAAATAAATACACTGGAATGAACAAGTGTGCACATGTGTGTAGGCAAGACCTCGTGTGGGGTGGGGAGGGAGAAGGAGCTGCAATGGGGACAGGCGACACACGCCCCTAGTCTGCCCACAGGTCCCCTGTATGACTTGGTTGAGGCTCACTCCCTCTCTGGGCCTCAGTTTCCTCATCTGTAAAAGGGGTTTGCATTTACTTTGCCTCAAGACTCTCGGATCTCAGGACTCCCCTCCTGCAACCTGTCCTCAGCCTGTCACTTCTGACTCTGGCCCCCACTGCAGGATGGTCACTTGGCAAGCTGTCCTGCCATCTGTCTGTGGCCAGCACGGCTACTGTGAATCATTCTGCATCCAAATTCAGTGAGGCTGAAGTCCCACATCCCAGCCCTGAGAGGGGCCGCTGTGATGAGGT